CCCCAGGGCAGGATGCCTGTCCTGCCTGCGTGGGCCCGGGTTCCTGGGTCTCAGGATGGAGGCCTGGCCTGGGCCCGGGCCTGACATGGGCCTGGGCATGGACCTGGCCTGGGCCCGGGCCTGGCATGGGCGTGGGCCGGGCTTGGGTGTGGGCATAGGTAGCAGGTTCCGGGTGATGCGCTGGTGTTTTGTTTCCCCACAAAGGCACTCAAAGCTTTTGACTTTAGCTCTGGGGAGCTGACAGGTGTCTGTGCCAGCGAACTGCCGCCTGGCACTGGTGGGATGGGTGTACACACACCTGCTGCACACAGGGTGGGATGCGTGTGCACACCACTGCTGCACACAGGGTGCGATGCGTGTGCACACCTGCTGCACACAGGGTATGATGCGTGTGCACACCACTGCTGCACACAGGGTGCGATGTGTGTGCGCACGCCTGCTGCACACAGGGTGCGATGCGTGTGCACACCTGCTGCACACAGGGTACGATGCGTGTGCACACACACCTGCTGCACAGGGTGGCATGTGTGCACACTCCTGCTGCACACAGGGTGTGATGCGTGTGCACACACCTGCTGCACACAGGGTGGGATGCATGTGCACACCTGCTGCACACAGGGTGGGATGCATGTGCACACCTGCTGCACACAGGGTGCGATGCGTGTGCACACCTGCTGCACACAGGGTGCGATGCGTGTGTGCACACCTGCTGCACACAGGGTGCGATGCGTGTGCACACCTGCTGCACACAGGGTGTGATGCGTGTGCACACACACCTGCTGTACACGGTGCGATGCGTGTGCACACACCTGCTGCACACAGGGTGCGATGCGTGTGCACACACACCTGCTGTACACAGGGTGCGATGCGTGTGCACACACCTGCTGCACACAGGGTGGGATGCGTGAGCACACCTGCTGCACACAGGGTGTGATGCGTGTGCACACCTGCTGCACACAGGGTGGGATGCGTGTGCACACGCCTGCTGCACACAGGGTGGGATGCGTGTGCACACACCTGCTGCACACAGGGTGGGATGCGTGTGCACCCCTGCTGCACACAGGGTGGGATGCGTGTGCACACCCCTGCTGCACACAGGGTGGGATGCGTGTGCACACCTGCTGCACACAGGGTGGGATGCGTGTGCACACACCTGCTGCACACAGGGTGCGATGCGTGTGCACCCCTGCTGCACACAGGGTGCGATGCGTGTGCACACACACCTGCTGCACACAGGGTGCGATGCGTGTGCACACCTGCTGCACACAGGGTGCGATGCGTGTGCACACGCACCTGCTGCACAGAGGGTGTGATGCGTGTGCACCCCTGCTGCACAGAGGGTGGGATGTGGCCAGGGTGGCTCTGTGGGGGGCGGCGGCGGCCAGGCTCCGCTAATCCAGGCCCTGGTCGTCTGCCACACTATTTACTGTGTCGGTGTCCTCTGCAGATGTGGTGAACCTGGACCTCAAGTCCACCCTGAGGGTTCTTTACAACCTGTTCACCAAGTACAAGGACATGGAGTGACCAGCAGCGGAGCTGTCCACAGCGCTGGCCCTCCTGACAGCCACGCAAGAGACATGAGAGACACAGACGCCGTGGCCTCCACCGCCCCTGGGCCCACCCCTTCCTGTCCACGGGAGGGGGCTGTCCTCAGACTCTGGCTTCTGTGACAGCGCTCGGGCAAGGCCCTTGAAAACGCAGTATTTAATCAGCTTCCGCACGTTGGAGGCCTGGCTCCGGCTCCTTCCAGAAGATGCTGAGCGGCTGACAGCCGAGCGGCCACTGCGCGGTGTCACGGGCCAGCCTGCGGTGCACCGCTGTACCCAGGGGCTCCGCGCTTCCTCTTCTCTGGAATTTTCCAGGCTGGGCTCTCCTTGGAAGTGGAGCATGTTCAGCAAAAGGGTTTTACAGATTAAACAGCTTTATCTCAAGTCCTAGAGGTTTCAGTGTGACACAAGTATGGTTGTGAGTATGTGTGTGTGTGTGCACTGCTGTGGGGGCTCAAACTCAGGGCCTGAGTGTTGCTCCTGAGACGTTTTGCTCAAGGCTAGTGTTCTAACACTTGAACTGCAGCACCACGTCTGGTTTTCTGGAGATACAAGTCTCACAGACTTTGCTGCCTGGGCTGGCTTTGAACTGTGATCCTCAGATCTCAGCCTCCTGAGCCGCTGGGGACCCAGGGTGAGCAGGCTCCACGCCCACAGGACATCGCAGGGCTGGGGGGTGGAGGGGCGGTGGGGTCCGCCTCTGAATGTCCCAATCAGGGACCCTCCTGCTGCAGAGACGGCTTTGGAACGCGTCGGTTCAAGCGGCTTTGAGAGGACCACCATCGCAGTGCATGAGCTTCGCCGGAGGGCTGGCCTCTTGCTAGGCCTCTTCCTGCTGTCCTGTCCTTGGTGCGTGCCAGCGTCTGGCCTCAAGACCCCGGTCATGCTGGTGTGGACCCCACCGCCCGCTGGGACGCCCCGAGTGCCGGGCTTGGCCTGTCACGGACATGGTGCATCGCCCAGAGCCCGCCGTGAGTGTCCCCGGCATTGGCTGTGTCTGCTGGGTCTCGGGACCTGCCTGGTGCAGCACGCCTCCCTGCGCCCCATCTCCACCGGCTGGGAGGAGGGGCCCTGCGCAGTCGCTCCTGCTTCAGCTCTGAGCCTGGGCGGCCGCAGCGGGGAGGGGCCGTGCTGGACCCCTCCACCACGCCGTGTGGCTGTGTCACCTGGCCGGGCACGGGCCGGGCGCGTTCTGGGTGCAGGAAGCGGTGATGTTGGACAGCCGAGTCCAACAGGCCACCCGGGGGGGCTTCTCCTCACCCACAGCTGTGCGCTGCGGCTCTCGGGATGCCTGGCTCAGGCCTCGGCCAGTCCTGCCAGACACAGGCCGGGCAAAGGCGGGAGTCAGGATTTACGGGGCACCTGGGGTTGTGAGGTGGGCAGGCAGCTCTGGGCAGCCAGGCCTGGACGCTAGCCAAGGTGGGGGCCGCCTTCTCTTGCAGCCAGCCAGGGTCCAGTTGCCTGGCTCTGAGCCTCCCGGTGTCCCCCAAACAGCATTCTGGGCACACGCCTCAGATGCACATGCCCCTTAGTTGCTAATTCAAGAAAGTGCTGGAAACTTCTTTCTGCTTGGTGGTCACATTTTCTTGATTTTCTTTTTTGGGAGGGGTCTGGGCCTCGAGAGCACATTCCCGGGAGGTCGTTTGTGCGTGGCCAGGGAGGGGCTGAGGACAGGGGGTCTGTGGGGCTGTCCGCGGGTGCCCATGCCCTGCCCTGTGTGGGGGCCTCAGCCCAGCCTCCCTCCCCCCCGCCACCCACGACCACACCCCCTCCTTCCCGGGTGACATAGTGCCCCCCACCCACGACCGACCACACCACCCACGACCACACCACCCACGACCACACCACCCACGACCACACCACCCACGACCACACCACCCAGGACCACACCACCCACGACCACACCACCCATGACCACACCACCCACGACCACACCACCCAGGACCACACCACCCACGACCACACCACCCAGGACCACACCACCCA